TATCATAATAAAATTTGAAGTTTTAGATATTTTTTAGGCTTTTCGAAATAGTAAAATCGCAGAGTTAAATGTGCATCAGCAAAACTAAAGTTTAATGCATTAGGTAGTAAATTACAAAGTTTAAAATGATATGACTTATCCTTTACCAACAACTATAGAATGATATTTAACCTGTTTAGTATAATGAATTAGCACAATCTCAAGTTATTCCTCAAATTCTTCAGTTTAAGAGAAAGTTACAACAATTATTAATATTTCTAAAAAGAGGAGTATTTAATACGAAAGAAAGGAGATATAATATAAATCCATAATTATTCCCTAATTTACTCAATCTTAGACAAAATCTTATTTTTTTAAATTAAGGAATTTTTTGAAAATGCTCTGTTCATATCATTCAAAAGAAATTATTCATTTGATAGAATTATTAATAATTTTACTATAAGGTAAACAAAATTGAGAATAGATTGGATGATTGCTAGAAAACGAAATGATTAAAAATGTGCATTTATTTTAAATATCATTATTCCATTTCATAATTATAGTGCACTAAATTCCTTATCTTCTATTCAACTCTAATGCCAATAGATGATAAGCATCATTATTATAGAAAGCAATATGTGCATCTAATTCTAAATTCAAATATTAATTCTAAAGGCAGATGGAATGTCATATTATATGTCTCTAAGGAAAATCGATTTATATTGAGGTAATAATAATTTTCAGGTAAAGTTTATTATTTTTTAATCTTTAAATCATACAATAAATGGATTAAAATATAGAATTATTAGAAATATATTGGCCAATAGCCTATAGATACATCCAAATCCATATCCATATCCTAAATCAAGCATTAAATTGATTTAAGTTAAGATAGTTGCTTGAAGATGGTCTAAATAAGTATGCAAACGCACTCCAAGCATCATTGAAATTGCTGTGAAGCACAAAAAAATTCAAAACATAATTGCACTCCTGGTCATAACCTAGCTTTCAAATTTTTAATTTCTTCATTAATTTCTTCTCTCAATTTAAGGCTTTATGAAGTGTTCAAAATTAATAATTTAGAGATATCCTCCAAATTAGGAAAATTTGGTGTTAAAATACTGAGATCGTAAAAATTTAAGGTAATTCCCAAAACGTCTACATTGATCCAATAGACAAATTACACCAAGAATAACTACTTTTTTTTTCTTTATCCTCCTTGCATTTAATATTACTGTAAAATATATAAAAAACATTTCACAAATTAAACCTGGTCATGCAATTACACAAAAATCCTCTTCAGATCAGTAACTCAAAATAATAAAATTGTCATACTTCGAAATAGGAGAGGAGATTCTTCAGTGTTTCTTTCAATTTTCAATCATCAGACTTGGTTTTGTAATACAAAATTATGTAATACATTTTACAGATTTTGATCATAAAAATACTATTCATTCTATAACTTTATAATACTCATACTTATTTCATTTTTTTAAAATTCTAATCTCAACATTTCACAAAATTAATAAAGTTGTATTGTAATTATCAAAATATCATTCCTAACAAATGTATTAACTATCTGAAATTAATAATTTAACACTCATTCATTTAATCCAGATTCCTATTAAAGGTAGTATACATAGGAGTGGATAAGCACTCACAAAAAATTATAAATCTGGTCAAACTCTTCAATTACCATTAAGATCAATGACTCAAGACTCATAAGAAAGGTAAGGTAGACTTTTTTGTTACAATTTAAAAGTTTTATGATTGACCAAATTTAGCTTCATATGGCAAGATAGGTCAGCAATAGCCCTGTTGGAGACTTGAAAGTCCTTCAGAAAATGGCCTGACAGACTTGGAAGGACTGATATCAAAAAATTATTTAAATTTACCATAATCTATCAATATTTTCTCTAAATTTTTGAAAATATTCTCTTTATAACCTATGGTTACAGCTTATATATATTCACATTACAGTGCATTCGTGATCTTCATCCTAATTATGTAAGTAGACATGTATCTTTATGAAAAACTTTTTTAACAAATCATTGGATCGACAAATGGATATTGTTTTGATTCTAAAATAAAAGAAATAAAATTGTTGAGAAAATAGATATCTAATTCCTTTACAAATTATCAGCAAATCTGAACTAAAAAATTATTAATAAAGATTTGGCTACCAGTTGCTATAAAACTAACAATTTAAAAAAGAGTTTTTATATCCTTATAAACCATCGATTCTTTCCGCAAAAACATTTTATTTTGAAAATTAGATTCTTTCACTTCGTGTGTAGAATATAGAATTACTTCATTAAGAGATAAAATACTAAAAGTCTGGATAACCTCTATTATGTAGTTAGATTTGATAAATTTATTCTCGTGTCTAATCTTTATGCAATTTGGTCCAATTTGCATTAAAAATATTTTCCATCAAATATCATGTAGTGGTTGGATAAAAAAAGAATTGAACTCTTCCACACTTGCTAAAATAATCCATCTAATACGTTATAGAACTAATTAATTTGTAATCTTTTAATTCTCAATATTTCTATTATTCCCATTGAGTTATCATTTAGATGAATTTATTATTGGATTCTTTAAGTGTTGAAAATTTGTTATAAATCATACTATAGTGTAAGACTTTAACTTATCTATGATAAAGAATAAATTTTTATTATAATCATTGTCTATAACTATTTTAAAACAAAAGGAAAAAATTGTAGTAGTTAAGTTGCTGAATTATGGAGTATTCATCTTTATAACTTCTTCTGAATATTTTATGTTTATATTACTTGTAAAAATGAATAAATAATGAATAATTTAATAATATTGTTCATTTCTATTGATAATTTCTAATTTAAATTTGCTTAGATTTGTAATCCCAAGTAATCAAATAATTTCCATCTTCACTCATTTATCCAAATAAATAATCATGCCCAAAATCAATAGTTTATTGAGTTATAAAATCAGCATTTTGGTTCTTCCTTATTAAATTAACATATTATCCATTCTTATTAACAAGCAGACATTTCTACTTTATGTATTATAAAGGAAACCAATATTAACAACTCTGACTACATATAACAGCAATTTATTTTGTCTTTGAATACTATTTATTGGTACTACTCATCTCGTATACATCCATCTACTCTTAACAATTAGGTTAAAATGCGAAAACATTATCATTAATAAAACATAATCTACGACCAAATTCTTCAACTGATATCTTTTATATTACATTCCATTTTGAATCCTAAGATGTCCGTTGTATTATTAATATTAATTTATCCCGTCCACTAGTTATCACTCTATTCTATTCGTCATTCAAACTTATTGCTAATAATTAGTCTGTATGATCTGTAATAGTTTATGAACATAACCATTGATTCTACTTTTACCAAAATTTAATTTTGTTATCTTCACTTCCTGATATCATAAGATCTTCATTATTGTTAATTACTAAACAATTAATACATTTAGAATGTTCTTTTAATTGTTATTAAAATATCCATTGACTATTCTGATTCATAGACCATGTTATAATCAATCCACCAACATCTCCAGATATAAATTGATTCTATTTCTTCATAAAATTTAAAGTAATAATAAAATTCTAATGTTCATTTAGAAGTTAAGTTTGTTTCAACTATTCTTATTTGAATTCAAATACTTTGATCTATCTATTACACCCAGCTAATACAATTGTGTTATCTTTATTAATAGCTATTGCATAACAATATTCATTTTATTAAATTGAATTATTGTATAATAGATAATAAGTGAATGGATTTAGATTATTGGTTATTGAATGTTTTTATTGATCTTATTATTGTATTTATTTGGTTTATAATTGAGTGAGTTAAAGTTGATTTTATTCAATTTGTTGATGAATAGTTAAATTGATTATTGGTTTAACTTCTTGAATAATTGAATTGGCTAAGGTTTATATAAATGGTTATAATTAAACAGCTGGAAGTACATAATTAACATTTTTATGAGCAACAGATAGCTAAGGAACAACAATGACTTAATCAAGAAAAGCATCAATTCTGCTGAAAGAAGACTAATCATTAAATATATTTCAATAACTTACATCTATTTATTATTAAATATCTACAAGACATTCTTCAACTTGATATTATAATTAAGCAACAATCTATTGACTATTCATTTTATAATTATTATTAACATTTTACTTTTCACTTTATCTACTTCTATTCAAATTTACTAATACCCCTAAAATAAATTATCCTAATATAATATTTATTATTATTTATAAAAATAGTCATCTCTCTTTCTTGTATTCATTTTTTTCCTATTCATAGGCTAAGCCAGAAGGCCTTCTATTTAATGGTTTCTCTTGTGTTAGATATTAGTGACTTACAATAGGAGAGTTCAGATTGATGTTGATTGATATTTTTTATGTATGTGCCATTTATTTTAGAATAAATTAATTGGAGATGAGATGAATTAAAATAATATGAATTTGGATTGTGAATTTATAAATAAGTATAGGGAGACCATTAATTTTTCTTACATTGAATTACCAATTATACTTTTGAGATATAAATGTTTACATCAAAGGTCAAACCGTAAGATTATATATTATATATTCTAAGTTAATTCCTGAAGTTATGGATGAGATGTTAAAGGTACAATACTTAAGTATATACTATTTTGATGAGCAACTTCGTATTTGCATTTGCTTTTGAAACTATTGATATTGCAACAGATGATTTTCAGGAAGGAAATAAAACAATTTATTAAAACAAGTTAGGGGAACCATAAGTTTTTGGGTCTTATAACAGAAATTATAATCAATTAGATTGTTTCAAAAGGAATTTTTATCATTAATATTATAGATTAACTATTAGTTATGTTTAAACAATAATTAAGTGACAACTAAATATATTTGCTGACTAGGTTGTAAAAATTATTTCCTTGAGAACCTTTGTTTATGATTTTATTATTATACTTGAAAGTTAAAATAAGAGAATTTGAACAGAGTGATATGATGCAGAATTAGATTGCACTTGCATATATAGAGAAAGCGCATTAATGATAAGGAGGACATCTCAAAAAATCAGGTGGATATAATATTAGATGAGATGAATCTTGCTTGCTGAGAGGTTAAGCATTTGAGAAAATTGTATATAAAACCAAAGTTTATACACTAGCAGGAAAAGATTAAAATAATCACATTATAAACTAAATTAGGGTCACAAATTAAAAACGATTGACTCAAAGATAAAAGAAAATATGTAGAATATGTGATAAAATATAAAATAGTACAAAAAATAGAAGCATTAAAGATTATACTATCAGGAAATCTTCGTATTTGCTTTCTAGAAATGTGATTAATCTCAATAGACCTTAATAAATATTGAAAGTAATCAATTGGAAAGACAAAATTATGTGATTTGAAGAATGGCGAAGCAATTTGGAATTTTCCCATGTAAAAGAAGTTAGAAAAGCATTCTTTATAGATGGTAGAAGAGCCTAAAGAGATAGTTTCAATCTTTCGCCAGATTCTCCATTTAATAAAAAAAAACAAAAACCTATATCATATGATACTTGCTAAAGTGTTTGCCGGTTTCTAAAGTGACTTTTGATATATTAAACCATAAAAATAATAAGTTTTATTAATGTCATTTTAAGAGACAAAATGATAGGATATACTGTTGCTTTCCTCACTTCAAATTTAAGTCCATGCCAGATTTCCTATCGAAATACAATGATAATTAAATTTTATAGTATTGACTACTAACAATATATTCCAATATAATTACCAAAAAAAGAACTCTACTTAAAATCATTTTAATTCTGAAAAAAATTAGAGTAAATATTTAAGAACACTAATTTTGAATTAAGGACAAAACTTTGAAAGATAAAAAAGAGATATCAATTGTTAAGCATTCGTCGAAAACAAAAAACTAAAACATTAATTTCCGCTTTTGGTTTATTTTACATCAAAAACAAATTCCCTCAATATTTTTTTTGCGTTCAATTTCTTTCAGATTAGAATAAATCATATGGTTTATCTCTTGTAATATTCAAAATGTTTAACCTTAATCATTCCGTTATACTCTTCAATTTTTCTGTTGAATTATATATCCCACTCAATTCGCTACCTAAAACAATATTGCATATTCAAAAAAAAAGAGCCATATGTAAATTAAAATAAAAACCGTTTTTTAGTGTTTAGACTGCTCAGGAGACTTGACTGGTATTCTTTTCCTAACTCATATTATTCAATTTTTATATCATCCTCTGTTATTAAAATGACTAACTTTTAGTATTTATTCAAATATTACTGATTGATGATGTTAATTTTTGCCTTATTATTATGAGTATCTCAAAGATATTTACCTATTGTATACAGAATATTTATATCTAAAATGTGGTTTCTAATGAATTACTTCATTAATTATCCATAAATTTTGATTTTTAAAATTTGAAAAAAAATTAGCTTTAAGGTACCTATATAAAAATTCATATTATTTAGTTTTCGAAATACTTAGGCCACATTTCATGCCACTTACAATTAGAATTTAAAAATCAACCCATCTACACATTATGTTGATCAAATAATTTCTAAATTGCGCAATCATAAATTTTTGCTTCCTTAAGTGTTGAGTTCTTAAGAATCTAATTCTATCAACAAGCCTCAACTATTTTTGGCTTTAATCACTATTTATAGAGTGTTTCTTTTTAAAAGGGATTTATTTTTTTCTACCATGTAGGTATTATGCTTAAACTATCATTTGATCCCACGATTTAATATGCTAACATATTCAATTTATATACTCTTATTCTGATTATACTTTTTGACCATTGAATATATTTTACTGCTTATATTATTTTCAACCATCTCTTAGTTGAAAGTATCGCTTACCTTTTCTTAAGTCGTTAGAAAAAAAAAAAATTTTTATTCAAGAAAACTTAAAGCTTATTGATGTAACACAACTACCTAAAACAGCCTAATGTAAAAAGGTTTAATATTTAATATTATTATTATAATGAATATATCATATTTATTTTA